CAGACAAAGGTCAGGGGTTCTGCATCCTCCTAGTGCAAAATGAAAACTCCTACAAGCTTTAACCAGTGCTCAGCTGAACACTGCTAGAAGTCACAAGACTGCTCTAACTGCTGATGAGAAAAGGTATTTTACAGTTTATATTTACTAAAATAATTGCATTTTCATGTTCTATGTACTGTGGGAGACCAGATATAGTGAATTCAGGGTCCTGGGTTTAGTAACACTTTAACTCCTTCTCGGTCTCTACTTACCTGTTATTTTCCTGCTGGTTTTTATGTTTATTTCTAATTCTTTAACCACTAATGTTTAAACCTTTTCATTTTTACTTGTTTTGTTCATTATGTTTGGTGTTGAATTAAAAAAGCACAAAATTAAACATAACTTTGCAAAGCTTTGTACTAGAATCATAATTTCAGAGTCAATAACAGGGAATTCTTTATAATGAAATGTATACACTGTATACATTTAGCGCTGAATTTTATTTTAAACTAACACTGATCAATTTAGAAAAAGTGTCTTTTTAGTTTTGTTACTTGTTTATCTTTGAAAAAATTTTTCTTTGTTTCTGTTAGACAATTTTGCAAATAAATAACTGTTCTTCATACATTTAGGCCAACATGTATTCTGCTATATTTCTTTGTTGAAAATAACCCAAATCAGTGTAAATTATTTAGTCTGTAGTAAAGTTATAGAGTCCACAAACCCTGGCATATATCTGAAAGTCTTGTTGTACTTGGTGGTGTATTTCTTGAGGCTCACAAATGTCAGGACAATACAGTATAATACAATACAATATCCCCCATATTACCCTTTTTGAAAATAGACAGTCTGAGGTATTTAGCAAGAGGCATGGAGAGTTTTTTGAAGAAATATTTTTTTTATAATTTTTTGGAAAATTAAAAAATTAAAAAAAATAATTTTTCACTTTTTGTTTTTACATACTGTCACTAGTGCAGTACAGCGTCTTCATATAACTGGTGTGGCAGTGATCAGGTGCACTGACTGGTGATGGTATGAACTTTTTTTTAATATATTATTTAAATTGTTTTATTTATTACTTTTTTTCTTTTTTTTATGTGTGTTTTTATAACACACTGTGACCAGAATAATATAATGTTACCATAGTAACATTGTATTACTCTGGGGGAAGTGATCAGTATTTTTTTTTTATACATTATGTTATGATTGCTTATAGCAATGAGTTTCATTGCTATAAGCAAGCATTTTATTGAATTAATTCAATTCATTCAGTTTGTTTTGTTGTAATTAGCTGTAATTAGCCACAGGTAACCACATGACCCAGATGGGCTGTGATTGACCCAGTCTGTACATGTGATCACTGTGACCAATCCCGGCTAGCGACACAATTGTATGCAATGGATGGCATGAAAAGTAGCTATCCATTGTTTACAATTGTCATGTGACCTACTGCGATTGGTCACAGTGGTTACATGGCTATCCACCTGGATATGATATCCACCCGGATCAATGAAAGTCCACCTTGGCCATAATTTTACTATAGGCTGGGTGGGAACTGGTTAACTTACATTATCCCTTCCCTTTATGTATACTGATGGCACTGTATATATTTTATTATTAAAAAAACAAAAACAAAATTCATTCAGTATACAGCTGTCATGTGACCCTATTCTTTACTAGCCCATCTGCAAGGAAATATGGTGGGAGGTGCTTCTAGTCCTTTGCTGCCGGTCACATGTTAAAAAAAACCATAGGCTTCAAAATACAAAGGAAAATACATAATTAATAGTAGTTAAATGTTTTAAATTGTCATACAAAATTGTATTTTAACTCAAATCTTTTATTATGATCTATTATTTTTGTGAAAATAATGGTGTGGGCTATCTAGGAGAGGTTCTGCCAATCATAGTCTGCTTCACACCCCTCTAACCTGTGCCTGTTGTATGTATGTGTTTGCAATTACAGGCAATGTCTCCATCAATCAACATTTAATATCCAGCCACAATTAATATTCACAATATTAATCCACAATCCACAATTAATATTGTGTTTAGCTGTTTAGAGCGCTTGGTGCAGGAAGGAGGGAGTGGACTGTCATGTTTGACCCTTTGGTTATGTGGGCTGCACAGATAAGAAAAAGGAGGAAATTAATAGCTTAAAAAAGGGAGCATGCTCAGTAAATGTGGCAACCATTGGTCTACACAATCTCTGGTTGCAGTGTGGACACAGACACGGAAGGAGGAACAATGAGCAGCAGCATCAAGCAGATTTTTTGCATAATACAGAAAATAAATCCTGTAGTGAATGACTATTTATTTATTACAGGTACTTATATGGCACTGCCAATTTACACAGCGCTTTTCATATATATTGTACAGTCTTACCAGTCCCTAACCCTCAAGGGGTGTACAATCTAAGGTCCATAACTTACATTCATACATACGCATACGAGGGCCAATTTGGGCGGCACAGTGGCTTAGTGGTTAGCACATCTGCCTTGCAGTAAATGGGCTCATGGGTTCAATTCCCAACCATGGTGCCTCCTGCATGGAGTTTGCATGTTCTCCCTGTGCTTGCGTGGGTTTCCTCCGGGTGCTCCAGTTACCTCCCACACTCCAAAGACATTCTGGTAGGTTAATTGGATCCTGTCTAAATTGGCCTTAATATGTGTATGTATGAATGTGAGTTAGGGACCTTAGATTGTCCACCCCTTGAGGGTTAGGGACTGATGTGAATGTTCAATATATATATATATGTGTGTGTAAAGCAATGCATAAATTGACAGTGCTATATAAGTACCTGAAATAAATAAATAAAATTTAGATGGGATCCAATTAACCTACCATCATGGAGTGTGGGAGGAAACCAGAGTACCCAGAGGAAAGCCACGCAGGCAGAGGGAGAACATGCAAACTCCAGGAAAGTGGTGCCATGGTTTGGATTTGAACCAATGACCAATGACCTAGTGCTGCCAGGCGGAAGTGCTAACCATACTATGAGCAGTAATGTAATGCAGTATTGCAGAGAATGCATTAAAGGGTAAAAAGGTAAAACGCCTCTATGTTAAGTTCCTCCCTCAGCCCCTCTAAATAGTTACATGAACCCAATTTCAATCCAGCGCTGTGCCGAAGAGCAGTGGCACTGCTCTGTCTTTCTCCTAACTGGACATGGAGACGGCAGTGGGAGACATTAACTCTTGCTGCTGTCAATCAAATCCTGTGAGGAGGGAGAAAAGGGTGTGGCCAAGCTGAGCTGTCTGTTTTAATAGACACAGCCGGGGAGCGAGCCCACATGTGTGCCCCAACAGCAAGTGGCTTGCTATCGGAGCACACCAAGAATAGAAGGAGCCAAGTGCATTAACTGGGGACACCAGAAGAGGAGGTTGCAGGCCGCTCTGTGCAAAACCATTGCACAGAGCAGGTAGTTATAACATGTTTGATACCGTATTTAAAGTGGTTGTGAACCTCAGACATCAAATATGAACCAAGCATATCCCTCTGTAGTGCTGCTTTGTTCCTCTGCTGTCAGCATGAATCATTTCTGGTATGTTTTCCTGACACCAAAAAAATGTTGATGGGAGGGACCTCCAGCAGATTGGCAGCCTCAGCTCTGTTGCTGTGAGCTGTGTTTTTGTGTATGTGTATGTGATTGGGGGGATCCCTACCCTACCCTATCCTGCCCTCCAATGAGTTATCCTCACTGAGTTCTGCAGAGTATAATTTCAGCTCCCCACCTCCTTTTTTCTGAATTCTCAGACAAGCTGTATAAATTCTGCACTTTGAATGGATGTAGAGAATAGAATACTTCTGATAAACAGGTACAACTTATTTAGGAGCATTTGTTTCATTTCTGTGTATCCCCTGAGGCTAGTCACTTCATTGGGTATATGTAAGGGTTTACAACCACTTTAAAAAAATAAGTTTACAATCACTTTAGGTAATGACAAATTTATGCCAAATAATCAGGTCCAAAAGCAGAGACAATAGATATACTCACATGTCTAGTGAGCTATAGGCATGTAAATGCGTAAAGCAGAATGTAAGAGTCCACTCTACACCTCCATCTCTACCTGGAGACAGGATAACAAAAAGCATCTGATGCATTTCAGGAACCCTATCCCTCCGAAACACATCAGTTACTTTTTGTCATCCTATCTCTAGGTGGAGATGGAGAGTGGACTCTTACATTGTATGCTTTATGCATTTATAGTACAGTTTGTATTGTATTGTAGTTTTGGTGAAAATAGAAACATCATGTTAAAACACTTAACTAGATCATGTAGGCTTGGATTTTTAAAAGTACTTAGTAGTTTAGGTGCATTTTTTAGATTATATGAATTATGTTTTTAATAATTTTTTTGTATAGTTTTTTTTTTGTTGTTTACTTGTATTGTGTGATCCACTTGCAAGCAATAGTGACACCCACTAGGGTGCAGTGTGCAGTATGAGACAGGTTAGGGCATGTTTAACCATTCACCTACAGGGCACCTATACCCCCTTCCTGCCCAGGCCAATTTTCAGCTTTCAGTGCTATCACACTTTGAATGACAATTGCGCGGTCATGCAACACTGTACCCACATGACATTTTTATCATTTTTTTTTAGACAGATAGAGGTTTCTTTTGGTGGTATTTAATCACCTCTGGGTTTTTTATTTTTTGCTAAACAAACCAAAACCACTGAAAATTTTGAAAAAAAAAACGTTTTTTTTTTTTTTAGTTTTTGTTATAAATTTTTTAAATAAGTGATTTTTCACAGGCTGCACTGATGGACACTGATAGGTGGCACTGATGGGCATTGATGAGGAGGCACTCATAGGTGGCACTGATGGGCATTGAAAGGCATCACTGATGGGCACTGAAAGGCAGCACTCATATGTGGCACTGATAGGTGGCACTGATAGGTGGCACTGACTGGCACTGATAGGTGGCACTGACTGGCACTGATAGGCGGCACTGACTGGCACTGTTATGTGGCACTGACTGGCACTGTTAGGCGACACTGACTGGCACTGATAGGCAGCACTGACTGGCACTGATAGGTAGCACTGACTGGCACTGATAGGTAGCACTGACTGGCATTGATAGGTGGCACTGACTGGCATGGATAGGTAACATTGAAAGGCAGCTCAGATGGGCACTGATATGTAGCATTGATGTGCACTGGTAGGCACTGATATGTGGCATTGATGTGGCACTGATGGGCACTGTCAGGTGGCATTGATGAGCACTGACAGCTGGCACTGATGGACACTGACAGGTGGCACTACTGGGGCTACACTGATCATCAGGGCACACTGATCATCAGTGCCCTGATGATCAGTGTACATGTCCCCTCTGAGTAAAGCCGATTACCGGCTCTCCTCTCCTCTCGAGCTGTCAGCGTGACAGCTCGTGAGGGGAGAAATGCCGATAATCGGCATTTCCCTATTTACATGTGATCAGCTGTGATTGGACACAGCTGATCACATGACCGAGCAGACATCTTCTGCTCTTTCCGTTGATCAGTGATCCGCTGTGTCCGAGGGACACAGCGCACCACCGATCACCGCGCTGCGCGCTCCCGGAGCCACGCATGCGCGGTTACAATGGGAGGATGTCATATGACGTGCTCCCAGAACAAGAGAACCGCCTTGCCCCCGTCATTACCTTATATGGCGGGCGGGAGTTGGTTAGAGTGAAGCTCCACCCAAAAGGGGAAGTTCCGCTTTAAGTCTTTGTCCCCCACAGCCCATTAAGGATTGGCACCTTTGGGGAGCGGGTACCTGAATTTGACAGGTACCCGCTCCCACGTCCGCTGCGATCGCCTAAGGAAGTGGAAGTTGTCCTCCCCCTCCCTCCCTGTAGTCTTCTGGGACATGTGACAGGTCACAGAAGACTATGGGGCCATTCACAAAGCGTAATACTTCTTGCGCATGCACAGTGGGTACCCAACTGTGAAGCCGCAAGCTGTCACAGCCAAGTGCCCACACTGAAGATGCTGGTGCCAGGGAGAGAAGACGTTCGGTGAAACCAGCCGTGGTGAGGACACCGCTGGACCAAAGGACAGGTAAGTGTCTGTATTTTAAAAGTCAGCAGCTACAATTTTTGTAGCTGCTGACTTTTTATTTTTCAGCTAGAACTCCGCTTTAAGTACACTGCAAAACAATAAGTGGATACCCTGGACTAGTTATTACTTATTGCTAAATGTTTTAGTCTTATTTAATTGTAATCTAGACTGTACTTGTGAATGTGTATCTGTGTTATGTGATTATATGGTGGCAATAGGGTACATCCAGTGATGTATACTGACTTGTTCACAACTGGTCCTGAAAAACTTAATTCGGCAGGGTATAAATCCACCTTCCAAAATGGTGACCACTAGCTTCCTGAAGAAGTTCAATTACAGACGAAACTAGTTGAAGCAGTGTTCCCCAGCCAATACATTCCATTCCATCCCATCCCATCCCATCCCTGGAGTGCAAGCCAGCTTCTGATTTTGGGGTGTTGGTAGCCATCTTAACAACAAACGCTGTATGTACCTGAGTGCAGTGTAGTTGTTAGGTTTATATGATTTAATAAAGTCGGCTGCTTTGCGCAATGAACCTTTTCCCTGATACTGTTTTTTGAGTGGTGGTGTATTGCATGGAAAGAAATCGCATTCCTGGCTCATGTGAATGGTCAAGTTGGTGACAAGACACAAAGTGGGTCCGACCAAAAAAAGTGCAGTGAGACCTATCTAATAATAGCAGGTCCATCCATTGTGGTGAGTGCAAATCCATGTGGGGTCACCTGGAGCACCTGGAAGTGGTCACCTGTTTTTTTTTGTTATTAATGACACCAGCACCTGTTCACCTATCTTTTGGCTTTCAAGCAACTATTATTTGAATGGGATTTACTGATACATTGGACATAATTTGTATTTTCTTGTGTTGTCCGTTTATTTTTTTCTATTTTTTTTGCATTTTCACATGTGGCAAATTGTTAAGTAATTTTGATTCACATTTTTGGCAGTGCAGTCTATATACACATTTACAGTTGTGTTCAAAATAATAGCAGTCAGACATCACTAACCTGATCAATCACTGTTTTTGGTAGAAATGATATTTCTACATGGCAAATAATTTACTAGCAGGTGTAGTAGAGTAATAGAAATCCAACAGACCCAACAGTCATGACATGCATGCTGCTGATTCTGTGTAATTGAATCACTAATTGAAAGGGGCATGTTCAAAATAATAGCAGTGTGGAGTTCTATTAGTGAGGTCATTCATTCTTTGAAAAACAGGTGGCAATTATTGCCCTTATTTAAGGAAGGAACAAATGTTGTACATGCTGGTTACAGTGCATATCTCTCTGAAATTCTGAGGAAAATGGGTAGTTCCAGACATTGTTCAGAAGAACAGTGTACCTTGATTAAAAAGTTGATTGGAGAGGGGGAAAACATATAAAGAAGTGCAGAAAATGATAGGCTGCTCAGCTAAAATGATCGCAAATGCTTTAAAATGGCAACCAAAACCTGAAAGACGTGGAAGAAAGCGAAAAAAACTACCATTCGAATGGATAGAAGAATAGCCAAAATGGCAAGGACTCAGCCAACAATCAGCTCCAGGAAGATCAAAGAAGGTCTAAAGTTACATGTGAGTACTGTTACAATTAGAAGACGCATATGCGAAGCCAAGCTATCTGCAAGAAGCCCCCGCAAAGTCCCACTGTTGAAAAAAAGACGTGCTGAAGAGGTTACAATTTGCCAAAGAGCACATTGACTGGCCTAAAGAGAAATGGCGCAACATTTTGTGGACTGATGAAAGTAAGATTGTTCTTTTTGGGTCTAGTGGCCGGAGACAGTTTGTCAGATGACCCCCAAACACTGAATTCAAGCCACAGTACACTGTGAAGATAGTGAAGCATGGTTGCGCAAGCATCATGATATGGGGATGTTTCTCATACTTCGGTGTTGGGCCTATTTATCGCATACCAGGAATCATGGATCAGTTTGAATACATCAGAATACTTGAAGAGGTCATGCTGCCTTATGCTGAAGAGGAAATGCCCTTGAAATGGGTGTTCCAACAAGACAACGACCCCAAACACACCAGTAAACATGCAACATCTTGGTTTCAGACCAACAAGATTGATGTTATGGAGTGGCCAGCGCAATCCCCGGATCTTAATCCAAAAGAAAACGTGTGGGGTGACATCAAAAATGCAGTTTCTGAGGCAAAACCAAGAAATAGAGAAGAACTGTGGAATGTAGTCCAATCATCCTGGGCTGGAATACCTGTTCACAGGTGCCAGAAGTTGGTTGACTCCATGCAACACAGATGTACAGCAGTTCTCAGAAACAGTGCTTATACAACTAAATATTAATGAAGTGATTCAAAGGAAAGCAAAATCTTCAAACATTTTTCAGTTTATATAGTGAATGTTTGAGTTTGTAAAGAAGAATACAAACACTGCTATTTTTTTGAACCGTCTAATATTCACTTTTCTTCAATTTTCTTTAGAGAAACAACACAAATTTGATATATTTTTCTTCATGTTTTGATTTGGAATAGAATGTGTAGTGTTCCCAATGCATTTGTGAGTATGGAAATATATGATCAGTATCACATAAATGCAAGTGAATGTGGTGTATTATCAAGCACCAAATAAGAACATGATAGTATCAATAGTCTATAAACCAAGAAAGTGTTAAAAGATAGTGCAGGCTTGGCGTGGTCAGGTCAGTAAATTAGTGCTCCATCCACATATAATACATTTGTGACTTCCAGTAAATCCGTGCGATTCAAACTGTGTGATATACTGTATAAAATGCGCACTCACCAGATGCACATAAAGTATGTGCATTAATCTCCCTGGAGGTATTCCCGAGTGTAGCTCGGGGTAAAGTTTCAGCACCACGAGCGGTAACCCTGAGCTACACTCGGGAATATCCTGCAGCGTTGATCCGGGATCTCTTCTTCACTTACCTTGTCCTTCACTCCCGCAATATCCCCCCTGCAGCATCCCCGGCAATGTCCTCTGGCCGGTGCCGGCATCCGTCTTCTCGGTTCCGTTCCCTGCGACGTCGGGACGTACGGGGACGGAACGGCGGGAAATTTAAAAATGTGAAAAAGTGACATTCACTAAATACACTAAAATCACATAGTAAAACATTACTGTATCAAAGCATTTCACATACATTTTGACCCGAGTGCTTTGTCCTGTGCCCTGCCTGCATTTTTACCTTTCTTTCTGCCTGGAAACTGAGAAATGTCCATGGCGTCCAAAAAGTGTCCCTGTAGGTCTAGACCAGCGAGACCAGCTAGAGAACAGCGATAGTAAATTAGAACCACTCGCAAATTTGAGTGATAATGATTCCTGTGGAAATTCGTCATCAGACACTGAAAACGATTTTCCGACTTTGCTCAGTGATGTGCGAACTTGGCGCTATATTTCAAATTTCAGAGTTTTTGGTTTTAATATATTATTGAATAAAATTTATTATTATTATATTATTATTTTTTATGATTATTTATTAAATTATAATTTATGATTTAGTGTTTCAAATTTACCCAGGATGTTTACTAGACTCTTGTTCGGACAGATTTCGTGAGTTATTCCTAAAAATTACAGGCCTACAATAAAAAAAATACATATTTCCATGCAAAAAAATGTACCGCTTTGAGCACAGAAATACTAACATAATCAGACCGCTAGGGAGGTTAAATTGAATATGACTCTGTAGGGAGCCCCTTTAAGTAGATCTGCCAGACAGTCTGGATCAAGGATCCCTCCTCTGGACACAAGCTTCCTCTGCAGCCATGCTTCCTCTGGGGTTCTCTGTAATCTTTAGCGCAGGTCAGAGCCAATAATATAAATGCCTCATAGTGTAGTAGTTAAATGGTATTTATTATATCCAGATGATTATCCAGCAGAATAAAATGCATATGTTGCATAAAAAAGCATAAAAATATATGTATCCTAAAGGTAATTGAATGTGGCTGATCAGCCACTCTCCAAAATGGCCCGCCGGACCTTCGTGTGGCTCCAGCGGCGTGACGTCACGACTTACGGCTCCTCCTTGACGCATTTCCTGTCAAGCACGTTATCAAAAGGGGTGTGCCTGATTGATGTTTATTAGGTTTTAGGGTTCCTACGTTGGTGCATATGCAGCTGGTTACACTTTTAATTTATATATTTATTCCGTTTTGAGCGCTCGCTGTATTCCTACTATTCTGACACATTTATATGGCTCACTAATGTGGAAATTAGACACATTTCGAAGACTGCAGCAAACATAATCACACTCATCTGTGTTTCTTTATTTTTGGTTTCTTTTGGTTTTGCCTGTGGCACAGAGTTTTCATTGTTATTCATTTACAGTACATGGCTATAGCTCACTAGACTTGTGAGTATATCTATTGTCTACTATATCTCCTAAAAAAATTATCAAGGTTAATACGCTAGGGGTTTGTGTCCCCTCTGTTTTTTTAAGTTTTGTGCAGTGTTGGATTTACTTGATCTAAGGAGGGCTGCACCACCATTTTGTATCCAGTCCTGACTGCGT